ATGAATGTGGGAGAACCCCCCTCCCTGCTTGAATGAATGTGGGAGAACCCCCCTCCCTGCTTTCTACCCTTGAGAAGTGGCGGCAGAACATTTCCCAGGGGCTGCTTCTTTGTGTTGGTTTAAAGCTCTCTTCCCTCCTCTGAATCCCCCCTCCCAGCTTTTCTCTTTGAACCTCAGAGCTCACTGCCACCCAGCCAGCTTTCCACAATGGCGGCAGGAGCCAGGGCGGCCGCGGGTGGGAGAGGCGGCTGGTGACTCAGGCTTTCTCTGTCGGGCACCAAGAGGTCGCCGGTTGGATTCCCGGTCGGGGCACCTGCCTGGGCTGCAGGCTCCGTGGCCAGTGGAGGGCGTGCAGGAGGCAGCCGATCCACGCTTCTCCCTCTCGTTGTTTCTCTCTCTCTCCGTCTCCCTTCCTCTCTCTCTAAAACCAATACAAATATATTGTTTTAAAAAGAATGTGGAATCTCATTGCACATACAACTTTATATCGTCCTTTCCCCCCGTACTTGATCTTTTACTTTAAACATTTCCCTGCATCATAACAATTCTTCAAAAGCATGCTTTAATAGTTATGTAACATTCCATGTTATACATGGATAGAACTTTTTTAGCCAATCTATGTTGGAATCAATATTTATATCCATCTCTCATTTTTCACATTTAAGCCACAAAAGAATAACAAATATGAATTAAGCAGTTACTGTGTGCCGGGCACCATGCTTCATGTTTATTAACCTATTTTATAATTCACTTTGTAATTAATGCTAGGATGAACATCTAATATGTAATGTTATGTCTCTCCATTTGGTTAATTAAAAAAAAATCTTTATTGATTTCAGAGAGGGGAAGGAAGAGGGAGAGAGATAGAAACATCAATGATGAGAGGGTCATTGATCGGCTGCCTCCTGCATGCCCCCGACTGGGAATCGAGCCCGCAACCCTGCATGTGCTCTGACCAGGAATCGAACTGCGATCTCCTGGATCCTAGGTCAAAGCTCAACATCTGAGCCATGTCCATCCGGGCTCCATTTGGTTAATTAAAAAAAAAAAATTATTTAATTTCTTGGTGATCTTGCATGTTTCCTAGGTTTATTTCTGGTATTATTAAAATTTTTGTTTACTATTGCCAATATGCCCATATTTTGATGTATTAAGTTGTCAATACTGAAATCCTAATTTTAGCGTGTGTTCCCTTTTCTTCAAAACATCTCTTCTGTCTTTCAAAGTCATCTTTATCACCCCTTTATCTCTGGTACATATTTGGCCAGTGGGACATAAGTGAGGTTTTCTCTCTTTCTCTGTGTGTGTGTCCCTCTCTCTGCCTCCCTTTTTCTGCCTCTCTTTCTCTCCCTTTCACACGCAGACACACACACTCACACGCCTGTGCAGGCGCACATCAACGCCTCAACATAGTCGGAGAGACTTCTGTCCAGCTGTAAGGAATCTCTTTCTATAGATCAATACTGTCTTACTTCCCAAACTCCTAGATAGCAGGCTTCCTCAAAATAGCTTGATGGATGTGGGCACTTAGTAAATATCTGGTGGTAACGTCCCAGCTTTCAGATGGCTTTGACGTGCCTCGTTTAGATTTTGCTTGCTTATTTCTGTGCCCAAAGGTAGTGCTGGGAATTCACAGACGGGGCTTGCCGATCACAAGGTGCATTTTCCTGGTCATCACCATGCTTGTCTGCCTCCTTCTTGGGCTTCTGGGCTGTTTCTCTCCATAAATATCTTCAAGGACAAAGTAATATTGTCCTTTTGCCTGTCTATCACCAAAGCCAAAAAGCCAGAGAGGAATTCTGCTTGATTGAGAGTATTCTATGAGGCATCTTATATGGATGGGGCAGGTCTGTTAAAACACTTTGCTGACCGGTCACGAGTTAACTCGTGTCTGCACTTACATGACTGTAAGTCATTTTAAGGTCTGGAAGCAATGTAGAGTTTTAAAAAGCGCTCTGGATGGTTTTCTTAGTTATCTTTGCTTAGGCTAGATCTGCGTGCAGAATGGGGTGCCATTTTCAAGTTCACATGCCGTGCAGCATGGACCAGCAGTGGCCCAGCCTGGCGGGGAGGGGGTGGTTTCTGGAGATACGTGTCCCTGAAATTGGTAACAGGTTAAGCGCACTTTCAACAAATAGACGCCCAATACATGGAGAAGCAAAGACTTTCGTGTTCCTGCCCCTGGCAATGCTCGACCCACCGACGCTCCAATGCAACAGGCGGTAATGCAGGTCGTATGCGCCACCTCACAACCCCCAGGACGGGGGTGGTGGAAAGACCACAGACACCACAGCTTGAAGAACACTCTTCTCAGGAAACTTGCCAAGCCCAGCTCTGCACTATTTCAATGGGGACATGCTTCCAGGGCCTAGAGGGAGTGCATGGGGAGGGTGTAGGGAGCTCTTTTTAGAATTTAGGTTTCACTTGCTTGATGTTCTGTTTATTGTCATATGTGACATGAGCTGTTTCCAGGCTCCAAATCTATCCATTGGTCTGACAA